TTACAATAAGCGGCTGTTAATGTTAAAGAGGGAAAAAAGGACTTTCTTTGGTGTTAAACAAAATTTATTGCCAGAAAAGTAAGTACTAAAAAAATCATAAAAATATTATAACCAATATGCAAAATATTATGCTGTTTAAAGTATAGTCAACCTATACAATCAAAATTTTGGGTGGGATAAAGTATCTCATTACAGCACCGAAAGCGGTGTTATAATAAAGTCATTATGAACGCAAAAAAGATAAAAAGTATAGTATACAACTCGTTTATATTATTAAAAAAACTGATCCACTTTCATAATTTTTGACGGAATTTTACATAAGAATTGGATGTTAAATTTTGGAATATCATGGTATTCCATGGTTAACCATGGTACAAGTGAAAAAGCATCCACTAATAACTACTAAATTAGTCATTTTTGACTAATTTATTTTTAGAGAGCTGGAATAATGAATTTTTAAAGTCTAATTTATTATATCCAACACTATAGTTAATTTATTTATTCTATTTTTAATGGAATTTCATAAAATTACTATATACTCATATTTTTAATTCTACAAACAACAAATTTAAAAAAATGTTTATTTTATAAAACCTGCATAAATTTCATTACAAAAATTAATTATATTTTTGATTAAAGCCACCCTTCACGTGATATTATTATTTACTTTTAATTTACATGTAGAAGAGCGTTAAAAAAGGTAAACTGTAAAATGTTAATAAATGGCTTGTATACTTTCTCGTGTATGGGGTTTTGGAAAATGGAAAATTAAATTCGTGGCCGAAAATTGTCCCTTTTACTACAATTTTGTCTCCATTACGCAAACCACTTCGCTTATTATGTTCGTTTTTCAATTAATAAATGGGGGAGAGCGCTCCTTTATCATTTTACCCGGAATACAATGAGAATTATCAACAAAACGGTTTATTCGCAACGACATTAAATAGCATAACCTAAAGGTATTTTCAGTTTTGTGTAGTCTTTTATCTCGTTGGAAAAGATTATTTTTAAATTTAGGAACATTTTATAACGTTGCAAATTTAGGGTTTTGGATGGTAAATACAGTTGTCAAGTTGGTCGCATTGATTAAAACAAACAAGCTAGTAATAAATCTAATTGTGGTTATGTTTAAATTATTGTAGGTTACATTGTGCAGTTGTCAAGTTGAGTTGTCGAAATTCGTAGTTAAAAATGCAATTAATTTGGCTTTGGTGGTGCTTGGATGAGTAAAATCATATAAAAAAGTAGTTAAATATAGGTTGGTTTACGGCCCAGAAGAGAAAGTATTCCTAGCGGATATTAATCTTCGCTTTGAAAAGAATTTATATAAAAGAAATTAACCTTTTTTGTGAACGTAAATGTTGTCCAATGGTGAATAATGTGAAAATAATGTGTGATGTTATATTTCTAAAACCAAATTCGTTACTTTTTTACTCCAAAAATGTCCATAAGGCGATGTGCTTTTTCTTCCATTGTGGAATTTGGCATAATTTCATCAAAATGAAGTTTTGCCCTCAAAAGGGCTTTTACATTCGAATTCGTTGCTATTATTTTTGGCATAATTATCTTTTTATTTATAATTATAACTTTTCGATTTTAGAATTTTTTACAGGTTTATTACACTGTTCTACTTAAAAAAGGGTGCAACATTAATTACTCTAATATTTGCCTTAAAGCAAACCATAAAAATTGTTCTACTGTAAAGTTCACCAAAATGTACTTGAAACCATGTGGAACTTATGCGACGATATACCCACTAGACAATTGTTGAATAAAGTTCAAATTTATTAGAAGCTTTTATACTTTTAACGACAAAACTTTATGCATACCTACTTTAAGTTGGATTATAAGAAAATACAAATAATTTTTAAAAAACGTGCAATGTGAAAATATTTGATTCTATACTATGTGATTTATTTAAATTTTAAAATTTATAAGATTCAGTTATAATGATTTTTCGATGTAAATCAAATTTAATCAAAGCTTTATACTTGTGTTGACAAAACTATATAAACTTTAAGCTAGGTTAGGAAAAGTTCAAAATTTATTTATTTGTCATAGCAAAAAAGCAGCTACTAATAATTCTCGTCAATCGCAATTTGTATCCCAAACATTTAGCAGTCAATTTTCATGTTAAATTGTCGTCAAATATAGGTGAAAAAGCAGCCACTAATAACTGCAGTAACTAATCATTTTTGACTAATTCATTTTTAGAGAATAAGGAATATTACAAAAAAAAATTTTAAAAATTAAAACAAAATTAATTATAGACAGAGGATAAAAAATTAATAGTAGCATAAAACATTTATTATGACCGTAAAATTAACCCAAAGCGGAAATTAACGAATGTCCGCATTTGTACACAAACACCGGTAGGATTTAAATTTTAAACGCCGCTTATAATCCGACTTTATTGTGTACGATGTTTTCACCCCGCCCTCCAAAAAAGTTACAAAGGGCAAAATTAATTTGGGAAAATCTTCATCGTTGTCAAAATGTGATTAAAAAACGCGCGACGGAATTATAAATAATAAAAATTGAAAAGGGTGGCAAGTCGGTCAAAAGAGGAGACGTAGGCGAGCGACGCATAAACAAATAAATGGTTTGCTAATTGAATTAGCTAAACAAACGGGGAACCGCAATTAATTATTTTTTACAATGTTTTAAAAGTCTAAAACCTATCCTCCGCGACTGTCACTCTTTCTAGGTTAACCTATATGTTTTCGAATATCTGATGTAGTAAAAACATACTAAAAATATCAGTTCACTAAGTAAATTAAACACATCCAAAGCAATCGAATCAAATATAAAATATTATTATAAATTAAAAGAAATAATTTTTATAACCATTTATGTAGGTGTTACACAAATTGATTCTATCCTTCGTGATTCAGTTTTTGCTTTTAATTTTATGCAACGGATGGCGCTTTAATCATTTTAAATAAGCAAAAACCTCTGTTTACGACATTATAGATGCATGCGATTCCTGAAGATCAGTTAGAATTTATATGCAGATGAGAGTGTTGCTGTTTTATAATTCAAAGGTTTAAGTTTATTAATTTGCTATTTAAAAACCTCAGTAAGTAGATTTTTTATAAATATTTTATGTATGTTCAATTGTATTTTTAAAAAATATTAAGGTGTCACAAGATGCAATAACTTATTGGGACTGTCTACGTGTCCTACTAGTAGGATTTATAGCCTGTTCGCTAAATATCCGACTAATAGGACAAATAGTAGTAAGGCTAAATATCCTACTATTATTCAGAATTCGGCAAAAAATAATTGTCTATATTCTGTATACAGAGCTAATTAAATATTTAGGTATTTTTCGAAGATCAACATGAAAAATGGAGATCAATTTTCATGTTGGATTGCCAAGGTTATGATGATTAGCTGTCATCTTGGTTATGCAGGTACACTGCATTGTGCCATACCAAACCAACCCAAACTTAACAACCCAACCCAACCGACCCCGCCCCATTGGTCCCCCCTCCCCATTGAGCAATAGAAGTATAATATATCTAAGAGCAGGCTGGATTGTGACAATGGGGCGGGGTCGGTTGGGTTAGGTTGTTAAGTTTGGGTTTGTTTGGAATGGCACAATGCAGTGTACCTGCGTAACCACAGTAAATAAAAGCACAAAACAGCCCCACACCCATAAAACTAATGAACAAAACGCGGCAACGTCCGCCTCAGACGTGGAAATAGGATTTTTCACGTCCGACGTACAAATAATAATTGACACGCCGGACGTGTAAATAGCCACTGCGAAATTAAATCCCTTTATAGGTATAACTAGAGATGTAAAAAAACGGTTTTTTTTCAGATGTGAAAAAAACATGAAAAAAAACTAGAAAAAAAAACGGTTTTTTTTTTCAAAATGAAATTTTGAGTAAAATGTATATTAATAATAAAGTAAAATGTAGAATATATTACATTTTTCATTATTGAAAATTTTGACCGAGACTTAAAAATCTGATTTCTTATTATTTGGTAGTTTCCACATTAGAAACCAATAGCAATGTAAAACTTCTACACTAATACAAAAAATTAAAGGATAGCTGTATCTTTTTTAAAAATGGTCGTATTGGAGCCGTAAAAAAAGCAATTTGAAGCTTGAAGTTTCTAGTTTTGAGATTTTTAGATGAAAAACGTGCAACGCTCAGTCCTAACGAATACCGTAATTTAGTGACTAATTTTAGTCCATGAACTGGACTGGAAACATAAAAAATTAGGCAAATGGGACTATTCTTGAAAAAAACCTAAAATGTGAAAAAAAAACCATTTGAAAAAAAACAATGAAAAAAAACCTGAAAAAAAAACAAAAAAAACGGACCGTTTTTTTTTCAAGTCGCATCTCTAGGTATAACATGTACATAATATTGTGTACTTTCCTTGTAGTACGCTTTCCAGTCGATTTACTTTTATATTTTCTACCACCAATACAACAAGTATACGTAATCCGATAATATTTCAGGTCCTTATTGGCCTTCTCTACTCGTTTTGGCAAGTTTTTTTTAGCGGAAATTAATGTTAATGAATCTTTTTTATACAATTGTACAAAGTTTTGATCTTCATACTTCTTTATAAATGTCTGTATCTCGAAAAAGGAATTGAATTTCTCTCAAACGTTGAAATCTATTATAATTTAATTATTGCAGTCAAACAAATGGTGTAAAAACCTAAACTAACCTCACTTTTGAGTGTTTTTTTTGCCGAATTCTGAATAATAGTAGGATATTTAGCCTTACTACTATTTGTTCTATTAGTCGGATATTTAGCGAACAGGCTATAAATCCTACTAGTAGGACACGTAGACAGTCCCTAACTTATTTCAAATATACAAAGGGATGTTTAAAAAAAAACATACGAAATCCTATCCTCCGTGAAGCTATCTTCCGTGAAGCTCAAATATTCAAAATGTATGATTTCTTGCATTAGTGCAGAACCACTTATTTTGGACAGAATATAATGTAAAGAAATATATGCAAACATACCTTAATTCCAATATGTATAGGGAAATCTTGAGCTGCCGACAAAGAGGGTAACGTCTGAATCACTGGAACTATTGGAAGCGAACAAGACATCATATTGTCAGCCTGAAATTTAAAAAAAAATGTTAATTTTTGATACATTTCTTTACATCACAAAATGATGTAAACTGTTATAAAAATCAGATTTTTTGGCATGAATTTGTAGTTTGTTAATTTTATTTTGTAAAATTTTAACATAATTTTTTGTAACCAGGGTTTGTAATTACCTATTTTAACAAAGAAAAATATTTTATTGAAAGTTTTGTAAAGGTAATATATATAATATAATATATATAAGTATATATAATATGAAATTTTGTTAACTTAAAGGATTTAATTAGAAAATATTTTTTTACTGTTTATGTCTAAATTCCCAAGAATAACAAAGTTTTTGGTTTTGACAGGTGAACACCGCTGATTTTATTTTCATTATTTTATTACCCGTCTCCCGCAAATGAACTTAAACACCGAAATCTTATTTAATTTGATAAAATTCCGCTAAAATGTACACCACATATTTCGACGGTTACGAGGAAAGGGAGAAGAAGGAAATTAGGCCATTTAGAATAATGTTTTCAAGCCTGAGTCTAAAAGAACGAAAGGGGTTCGTTTCCCACTTGTTTTATTGTACTCAGTGTGACGAAGGCAGTATCTCAAGAACGTATTGTACAGTGTATTTTAGGGTTTGCTATTTCAATAACTTTTCTCCCTTCGCTACCAACCCTGAATCATTCGCACAGTAAGAAAGTCATATGGGGAATTCCCAATGACCCAAAAATGTTTAACTACAATTTTCAGCAATATATATATATATATATATATTGCAAACTTTTTTGTTTTTCTATTTCTATATATTATTTTGCAATTATTGTACTAAAACTACCTGTACAATTTTAATAAAATTAAGCAAAATAATAAACTTTGTATCATTTAAATTACTTTAGTCCCCAGTATTAATTTATTGAGTCACCTATTATTTTTTACCACTCAAAACAAAACATAACAAAAAAACGAAGATTTATATCTTAAATATTTTTTATAACAAAAAATACTGGAAGTTTATCTATGAAATAATTACAACTTGCAAATTTTGTAAAACAATAATTAAGGTGGTTATGAAAAAAATTGCTATACGTTATAACGCAAGTGATATTTTGCTTTAGTTGTTTATTTAATGGTACCTATACTTTATAAAGTTAAAAATAGTATTTTAAAATGAAAATTAAACCATGAAGAAAATCGAAAGAAGGTATGGGTTTCTGAGAAAATATAAAAATTACTGCAGACTTTTTCAAACGAACACTTTAACTTAAGTGATTTAAAATTACCTACTTCAATATGGTAAAAAAAGTATATTTCCATAGCCACAATTGCCAAATTTTCAAAATTTAGAAATTGCTAGAGAATTTCGCGGCAGCCAAGAATGTATGTGCTTAATCTGCAAAATGGCAAGATATAAAGGGCATAAAAAATTATTAAGGGAAGAGGACGGACGAACGAACTAAAGTTTCTAGGTGATATCGCTATAGATGTAAGAAGCATGTTTGTACAGAGACTGAAGAATTTAAAAATACTGTTTCCATGTTAAAAACAATTCCATGTAAAACCCAAGAAAAAATTTTACTGAAAATGGTACTAGAGTATTTTATCGAAATGGCATAAACAATTTTAAAATACTAAGAAATATGCAAAACTTTAATAAAGGATCAGCTGGGATTTTGATGAATACATTTTTGTGTTACCAAAAGAGTCTATAATCAGATTATGCTATCAGTTTTGGTTGACATTTTTGTTCGTCCTATACTAGTTTTGACCACCGTGTATGGAGACAGTAAAATTCAACTATATCATAGTGTAGAAAAAAACTTCACCCAGTCTAGAGAACTTTTTGTAAAATACTTCTCACTGTGCGGTCTTTTCTGTATTTTCCATTCAGAAACAACCGTTCCCCATATAACGGCAAAGGGCCGCAGGCATTTCGCAAAAATAATTTGACAAATGTTCATATATTTACATGGTGCGGTGAAAGAACCCGCTTTAGGACTTTCTTGATTAGAATTTCAATTAATTTTGAATTTTTGCATGGAATAAAATATTAGGCTAACAACGTAAATTTTGCATTATTATTTGGCGGTTACCTACAAGGAATTAATCAGAATTTAATGTTTCATGGGTATTGATTTTGGCTGATATTTGACGATTTTATTGCGAGAAGTTAATTGAATTTCACCGAAATTACTTCCTCTAATTAAACAAACAACATTATTAGCAGGCACATATTTTTACCACAAACTTTTTTTACCAAACCACGTTAATTGGAAACTTTTTAAAATATTTCCTGACATGTTTACAATACCTTCTAAAATGTTTTTTAATTTTTTTATTAACACTCATGCACAGAAAAAATATTTTAAATTTAACCAGATTTTATGTTAATCCAGGCCCAAATAACTTTATATAAAGTTTATAACCAACTGTAATCTGTTAACTAATTGACTAAGGGCCGGTTTATCAATCTCTGGTTAAGTTTCAGTTAGTCTATCTGACAGTTAAATTCCATATAGATCGTTGTGAAAACAATGGTATCCATGGAAATTATCTACCAGATAACTAACTGCAACTTTAACTGAACATTGATAAACCGGCCCTAAGTATTTTGTAATTATAACAAACATTTTGTTCAACCATAATTCTTCTAATTTTCAAAAATGACATTACTGATGTATTTTGTAACTTTAACCCACTTCAGTTAATTTCAGTTTGAAAACCAGTAATGACATCTTTTTTCGGATATTTTTGGGTGAATGCTGTTTATTTATAAAAATATTCAGCATTCATTTTATCATAAAAACAATTTTAAATAATGTCTTTAAAAATATATACCATTAATAAAATATTCTATTTACTAATATTTGTTTTTATATTTTTATTTGTATTACATTCATAGTATACAAAACTAATTTGATTGAAAATATTCAATCAACTTAATGCAGTTTTACCACATCACATATGAACTAATGAGTTTTTGATTAAATATAATTACGACATTTTTATACATAAATTAATCCGAAGACCGGCTAAAACGACAATAACAAATTTTTTAAATAGCAAGATTCATAATAAAAACGTTTTTATGACAGTGATTTTTAATGCTTTCTACATGTATTGCGTTATGTTTAAAATATTCGCAATTATTCATATAACATAATCATAAAACTTGTAGACAATGTGGATAGATATTCGCTATTTATATCTTTCGTGTGTATATGCGAAGTGTTTGCATTGATTGGCCAATCAGTCATTTTCTTTTATGTCTGTGCTATTATTGTATTATGAAACCAGATAAATTATTTAATGACAAATAATTAAGTAGATATTACAGCCCAGGTTCCAGATTTTTAACCGCAATTAATTATTTTTTACAATGTCTTAAAAGTCCTATCCTCCGTGACTGTTTCAAATATCTGAGGTAGTAAAAGCATACTAAAAATATCAGTTCACTAAGTAAATTAAACACATCCAAAGCAATCGAATCAAATATAAAACATGATTAAAAATTAAAAGAAATAATTTTGATAACCATTTATGTAGGTGTTACAAAAATTGATTCTATACCCCGTGAATCTGTTTTGGCTTTAAATTTTATGCAACGGATGGCGCTTTAATCATTTTAAATAAGCAAAAACCTCTGTTTACGACATAATAGACGCATGTGATTCCTGAAGGTCTGTTAGAATTTATATGCAGATGAGAGTGTTGCTGTTTTATTATTCAAAAGTTTAAGTTCATTAATTTGCTATTTAAAAACCTATCCACCGTGAAGTGTAATATCTCAGTAAGTAGATTTTTTTATAAATATTTTATGTATGTACAATTGTATTTTTTAAAAATATTAAGGTGTCAAAAGATACAATAACTTATTTCATATATACAAAGGGATGTTAAAAAAAATCCTAACCTCCGTGAAGCTATCTTTCGTATATTCAAAATGTATGATTTCTTAAAATTTTTGCATAAAATACCCTACCTTGCTAAAATGTCAAGGCTTGCGATATTATCAAAAAATGCTGGTATATTTCTATACATATTTCAAACTGTTTCATCTAGCAGCAGCATCTAGCTTAATTGTGTTTTCATTCTTATGTCTCTTACATTCATTAGGTAAATTTGATATTCTTTAATATGATTTTGTCCATAAAAAATTTATTGTAAAACATGCTTTGGCCTTCTTTAAAATTAAAAAACACACCAGACAATTAACCTCGAGAATGGTTAACCAAATTAAACAATCTCAACTTACCGAAGAAAACCATCAAGCTCATACTAAAACCACCACCAAAATCGAATTATTCACACAATTACACCTAACCAAAATGACAAAAAAAAACGAAAAAAAAATAAATCGAATAAATTCGTTCAACTCCACTTAGACACGATACGCACGCATTAACAACTTAAAGAGTAGATGAGATCCGAAAACGAAACATTACGTCACCTTGAGATCTCCTATGTCGTCGGTGTTTGGTTCAGTGAAATTGAGAACCAAGGTCTCTTTTTATTGTAACGACCTTTCGATTATTTTTTGCTGACCAATGCGCCGGCCAGTATAAACTACTTTAGCACAGCAGAGTGAAGTCAGATGATATGACGCAGTTGGGAATTTTTATTTAAAAACCTCAGAAAACATGTCTCAATGAAAATTGTGTTCGTTTAAAAAATTATATTATGATTCAAAACATATTAAAATATTAAACTCGTGTTTTACAGCTTTTATAGAACCCAACAACTAATATAGTAATCTATAATTTGTGCTTTAAAGAAAATATTATTTACAGCCTGATTGTGCAAAAATCTCAAAATGGAAAAAAAATAATAATTTAACATTTTGAATTTCATAAAAAATTTAAAAAAATTAAATCAAAATCGAAACAAAAAACGGTTATAACTACATTTTTAAATAAAGTAATTTTCACATTTATCAACATTTTCATCCAATTTGTATATTAATAATACATTTTTACATAATTGGTCCAAAAAAATATTTTGTTTTTGGATATTTTTAAAAA